ATATATAACATATTTAATAAGATTTTTTTCTTCTTCCACTACCTTTCATTTTATTTACAATTTATATTTTTGTTGTTTGTTGAATTTATGTTGTTGTTTTTAAAGAAATGAAACGAATAAACTAAATATCCTCATCTCAGCTGTAGTTCAGTTTAAATAAGAGTATCTGACTGGATGTTATCAGTGCTTCTGGGGTTATAAAGTCAAGCAGTTCCATTAATTAATTGGCTTCCAAACCATTTAAGACATTAAAATGAAAGAAAATGAAAAAAAAAAATCTTAAAATCACTACAAAAACAAACTTGTTAAAACTAAGAGGTAACGACCAACGCTGAAGTTTTTAAGTAAACTTTTTATCTTTACTTCACAAACAACTTTTGGTCTTCTTTTAAACTTCACGTTATTCAGGATTCAATGAGCTTACTGCTGTCCCCATGGTTAAGGTTTCTTTTTGATCTCAGATCAGATTGTCTTTATCAGATGGTGTGCTTTTGTTCTACCAGATATAATAACTATTCTCACTACCCCTGAATGTGGGCAGACAAGCAGAGCAGACAAGAAGACAATACAACAGAACAATGAGAGCAGATGACAGGAAACTGCAGCAACAAAGACAATTATCTTCTGCTTATGTTTTAAATAATAACCTCTCCTAACTCTCTGTGAATTTCACAAAAGATTTAATTTCCCATGATTACCTGTGTTACTGTGTCAAGCCTCCCGGGTCAATTAAGACATCATTTAAGTGATTATTTAGGTTTAAAACTGCTTCATGTTTCTTTTTGTAGGATTTGTATTTTATACTTGTCATAATATTGAAGAATAACAAAAACCAGGAGGAACATGTACATAAAATCAAACAAAAAAAGGGTAAAGTGACTTTTAATCTGACAGAGAGATTAGATGTTGATGTCTTCTGGTTGCTGCACAGATTGTGCAACAACAAAGTGAAACAGCAGGTTTCTTACCGTAGTGCAAGTGGCAGGCGAAGGGGGGATGGGAGAAGATGATGTGGTGGAGGTGGGCGTGCTGCTGGAGTTCTGGAAGATCTCGTCCTCCAGGTGCGAGTGGCCCGGCGGGGACGTGGCAACCAGCGACTGAGCTGCAGAAAAATTAACGAATCAGGAAATGTTCTCATCTGTAACTACAAGACCTTTTCAACAACTCCACTATATTAAAAACAAAACAGAATACACCAAAATAAATTGTTTACATGCTGAGTCTTCAGCAGCGGATTTTGTTTTTTCAGCATTAATCTTATTTTTAAATCCTAATGTTTATTTAGGGGGTGGTGGTTGGTGTATTATATTATATTTCTAAGCATGTACTTTAATTCTATACAACAATCAACTACTTCAGTTGTTCTGAAAATGCTGTACATGTCACAAATAAATTTGACTTGTCATCATAGTCTAACTCAGGGGTCTGCAACCTGTACGATCAAAAGAGCCATTTCTGCCATGATGCAATAATAAAATGTGTCCAGAGCCACAAAACAAGCTAAAACTRTGATTACCAACTGGAGGCCCATGGGTCTGTTTGAGGCCTTTTTGGGAACCTTTACGGCCAGTGGAGGTGAATAAAAAATGTGTTGTGAATTGTATTATTTATTATTATTTTTACACATCAGGACATATGAAAAGACCATATCCATGTAAACAAGAAAAAATACTGTGTATAGTTTATATCGAATTTCATAAAAACTAGTACAACTGAACTATTCAGACGTATTTGTTTCTAATTCTTATTATKTCGCCTTCGAATTCTTTAAATGTAATTCTGATGGACTTGAGACAAAGATCATAGACAGAAAATGGATTATTTAAGTAAACAGGCTAGCGTGAGCTAACATGTTTTACTTTTTGTATTAATAGTAATGATCACATATTTGCATTCAAACTGATTTTGTTGTGAGCATGAAAAACGAAACAAAACAAAAATATTCTGTTATGTTTGGTCATATTTTCAAAGAGTCAATGTAGAGGGACCAAAGAGTCACATGTGGCCCCAGAGCTGCAGGTTGCAGACCCCTGGTCTAACTAAACGCCTTGAAATTGGCCTGCTACCATTTCTGACACTCCCACTTCAGCACATTTTCAAACAACGCTTCAGGCTATTTACAACCTTTCATGGGAGTGTTGATTTTGTTGAAAAAAAAGGGCAACATTTTGAAATATCGGTTTTGTAAAATGGCAACTAAGGACAGTTGAACCTTAATCGAATGATCCCACGTGGGACCTGGAAAATATATTTTCTAAAGAACCGGAGCGAGTACAGAAGCTCGTCCAAGCTGTTTCAGCTTGGAAATACATCTTCCAGTCATTCTCTCATWCATACACTCACCGGCCACTTTATTAGGTACACCTGTCCAACTGCTCGTTAACACTTAATTTCTAATCAGCCAATCACATGGCGGCAACTCAGTGCATTTAGGCATGTAGACATGGTCAAGACAATCTCCTGCAGTTCAAACCGAGCATCAGTATGGGGAAGAAAGGTGATTTGAGTGCCTTTGAACGTGGCATGGTTGTTGGTGCCAGAAGGGCTGGTCTGAGTATTTCAGAAACTGCTGATCTACTGGGATTTTCACGCACAACCATCTCTAGGGTTTACAGAGAATGGTCCGAAAAAGAAAAAACATCCAGTGAGCGGCAGTCCTGTGGGCGGAAATGCCTTGTTGATGCCAGAGGTCAGAGGAGAATGGGCAGACTGGTTCGAGCTGATAGAAAGGCAACAGTGACTCAAATAACCACCCGTTACAACCAAGGTAGGCAGAAGAGCATCTCTGAACACACAGTACGTCGAACTTTGAGGCAGATGGGCTTCAGCAGCAGAAGACCACACCGGGTGCCACTCCTTTCAGCTAAGAACAGGAAACTGAGGCTACAATTTGCACAAGCTCATCGAAATTGGACAAGAGAAGATTGGAAAAACATTGCCTGGTCTGATGAGTCTCGATTTCTGCTGTGACATTCGGATGGTAGGGTCAGAATTTGGCRTCAACAACATGAAAGCATGGATCCATCCTGCCTTGTATCAACGATTCAGGCTGGTGGTGGTGGTGTCATGGTGTGGGGAATCTTTTCTTGGCACTCTTTGAGCCCCTTGGTACCAATTGAGCATCGTTGCAACGCCACAGCCTACCTGAGTATTGTTGCTGACCATGTCCATCCCTTTATGACCACAATGTACCCAACATCTGATGGCTACTTTCAGCAGGATAATGCGCCATGTCATAAAGCTGGAATCATCTCAGACTGGTTTCTTGAACATGACAATGAGTTCACTGTACTCAAATGGCCTCCACAGTCACCAGATCTCAATCCAATAGAGCATCTTTGGGATGTGGTGGAACGGGAGATTCGCATCATGGATGTGCAGCCGACAAATCTGCAGCAACTGTGTGATGCCATCATGTCAATATGGACCAAAATCTCTGAGGAATGCTTCCAGCACCTTGTTGAATCTATGCCACGAAGAATTGAGGCAGTTCTGAAGGCAAAAGGGGGTCCAACCCGTTACTAGCGTGGTGTACCTAATAAAGTGGCCGGTGAGTGTATATGTTAATGTTAAGATATTTTTGCAAATAAACTATAAAAGTAGATCATTATGAAGCTATGTCCACCTTTTTTAAAATGTTTTGCTAGTCATGCTTTGTACCAGCAAGCGTTTAGGCAGATCCAAAYGTCTACCAGAGGAGATTCGAGGAGTTCTCAAACATGCATGAACGACTCAAAGCAACACTTTGGTTATATTTTTGATGAGGGAGTGACATTATAACATGGTATAAAGCTCAAAAACGTCCATTTTGCATAATACTCCCCTTAAAGGAACGCTACTAAGCAGTAAATGTGTGACTTATTTCTTCTTCTACCAGCAAATGATTTGTTTTATACTTAATATTTTATTAAAACTCGTGGAGAACGGTCTTTGAATTCTCTACGTACGAATGTCGTCCAGGTCCAGGTCGTCATAAAGGAACTCATTCTCTTCAAAGTCTGGATCCTGCGATGAGTCTATATAGTACTCCACATCATCCTTCGTAAGAAAACAATAAATACAAGCAATCAAACAAAAACAAGACAGACAAATAAGCAACAAAACCACAGATTCATGTAGAGTTATCAAAGTCATAAAACTGTTTTTTTTTCTCTGAGCTCATTAGAAACTCAAAACAAGAGAAGAAACAAACCTTTATCTTTTTGATGGCGTCCACCTGCACCGAGTCATTGTCCAGCATCCTCAGTATCGTCTCCAGCATTCGGATGTGGTACCGATGCTTCTCGATGAACTTTTTCAGCTCCTCGATCCGGTCCTGCTTCTGTACGATGAGAACAGGGTGAGACGGAGAAAAGGAGAGGGGACATGGACCGACTCTGAGGAACAGTGTTCAGTCGGCAGTACAGAAATGTTAATCATTCATCTTTTAAATGATACATCCCACAAAGGGACATTAGAATCTGGACATAAAAAATAAGTTTTGAACATAAAACCAGTTCTCAAAATTAAGAAAAATCGTGTTTATATTAATAAAGTTAATAAAGAAACAAGCCTGAATTTTGGCTGCAAGATTTTTACGGATAACTTAATGCTTAGAAACGAGCACAGGGYGATATTTTCACTGTCATGACGAATAAGGAACTCTTCTGACAGATATGAATCCTTAATGCAGGAGCTGCAAGTTCTCTAAAATGACCTCACTTTGTCATCAAGAGGGGTTTTAGAATTGAGGCTGAGAGAGAGAGGACTGGAGGCAGAGAGAAGTGGTCAGTGAGATTATCCCGGTCAGCACTGATAAACAAAATGAACAGAGAGCGCTCGATGTGACCCTCTCTGCCACAAAGGAGACGGTGAGATAAAAGAAGGAGAAGAAGCCTACGAGGCTGACAAACCAACAGATCTGCAACGAGAGGTTGGAAAGAAGAGAATGACTCAGAGGAGAGCAGGCTGACCTCTTTGTCTCCTTTCTTTTTCCTCGTCTGGACTGACAGAGACTCCACTTCGCTTTCAAAYTGGTCCACCTGCATGTTCAACGTGTCTATCGTGTTCTGAAAACAAAACATACAAAAACTAAAGTGAACAAAACAGCCTCGTGATAAGTTATTTATTTGAAAATCCTTTAATTATAAATGCATTTGTTGTTTGTCTTGATACTAAGACGACCAGCACCACCGGTCCTGCCTTTTATTTTGAAACTCACCGTCAACCACGTTCCCACTTCCTCTTTCTCCCTCTGTGCCGGGTCCACTTTCTGGGCAAGACCGAGCCCTTCTTTTGAATATGCTTTCGTCTTGGTTTCTCTTTCCACAATCTTGAAACGCTCCATTTGCTGAAAATAAATAAAAAAAGATACAAGGCAATTAAAAACGATGATAAAAAAAAAAGCTGCTCCTTAAATATCAGAAGAATGTCACATTTTYAAAACATTTTTTGTGTTAAAGTGGGTTTGAGCAGTACTTTCTGAAGGTAGCTGATAGTTTTTCTTTGGACTCGAGCAGCTTTTTCACTCATTTTCAGTCCATTAGTTTTGTTTGTTAACCTGTTTAATCAGTCCTCTGACTAATTTTCTATCCATCCATCTATCCATCCATCCATCCATCTATCC